CTAACAGAAATCACACTGAAATTTACTTTCCAATGTAAAGTGTTGCAATGTAGTGGGACATGGAAAAGGTATTGGGTCACAGGGCTCCATGTTTATGAAGGAATTAATGTAGTTCCTGTAAGGTTCATTGTAAGGGGATTGCTAAAAAGAGTTTGACCCATTTGCTAGCTTCCATCTTCTGTTTGGATTTGCCCTCAGCTTTCTACCATGAAGCAAAACAGCACAAGGCCATTAGCAGAAGCAGACTCACTACCAGTGCTGGGGAATCTCGGCCTTCTAGGCCACGTGAACCTGAGTTGCCTCTTTATAAACTAACAGGCCTCAGGTATTCTTTTTAATTTTGGGAATCAAACTTGGGACCTTGTGCTTGCCAGGCAGGTGCTTATGCTGCTGAGCTATATCTCCTGCCCTCAGTTTTTCACAGCAATAGAAAACATAGCAAGCCAGGTGCATTCGAAGTACTAAACTTATGTCTATATTTCTATTTGCATAGCTGAGCATCAGAATAGTTAATAGCTGTGGCTGCAGGCTGCTTGCCAAAAGACCATGCAGATCAGACTAATAGGTGCAATGGAAAATGATCATAGAAATGAACCCCGAAGTGGCTGCAAGAATAACACTACTGTGGAGGTGTTGGTGTCTTAGAAAGCCAACCAATGGCTGGAAAGGTCACCTATGGGGAGTTATTCAGGAGTAGGCTAGATAATCCTCATAAGATGCTACTGAATATATCCAAAAAAGATCATGTAGTACGCAATAATCCTAGGAAATGGTCACACTGTACCAAAGGAAATTAAGGCAACAAGAGTGGTTATTAGAGTCACAGCAGTGAGGTGGAGGACAAGGTTGAAATGACATTTCCAATTTAGAAGTTCTATTTATAGCCACCGGAATGTTCTAAGATTGTTCAGTTCTGGACTAACATGTTTTGGATCGCTTCTCAGCTTCAGAGTGAGTTTATCTGAAGCATCATAAGGTAACTGTGTTCTTTCATTTGATCTTATGTAGTATATCAGGGAAAATATAATGATATTTTTGAGGAAAAAACCTAAATACCTTCTCCATATGTGAAATAGCTATGTTCAACTTACATATAATAACAGTGACAATACAAATCATTTCGAACAAAGACCTTAATGGAGCAAGTTTAATAAAAAATTCTAGTAGGCAAAACATGTTATTTCTGCCATTTGTATGAAAATAAGCATCCCTATTATTCCAGAACAATAGTTTTTCAGAGAAAAGATATCCAATGATTAGAGTCCTGCTTTCTAATATACCACTGTAACAAGGGAATTCATGTAATCCATCAGCAAAATATACTGTCAACTCTAACATTTATTAAGGAGCTGGGGACCAGCTGCATGTTCTCCTAGATTACTTCATAAATACTTAATAACATATTCTATCATCTGGCTTTTCTGTTCACAACTGGTGGGCCTGAATCTAATTTGCAATTTTGGTGCCAGGATATTTAAATCACTTTTTGTGAGAACAAAGCACCATTACCTTGCAAGAAAAGAGAAGAAAAGAAAAGAAAAGAAAAGGAAAGAAAGCAAGGAGTCCCCCAGAAATGGATGTTCGACAATTTTAGGAAGTAGGTTGGCAGGAAACGCTCCTCTAGGGAATTTTTTTTTAAAGAAGAAATTGAAATAAGATTCGGAAAATAACTTGTTTATGGAGCTGTCATTGTATGTATTTGCTGGAAGTTCCCATAATAAAATGAGTAAATGGGGGAAAGCAACTAATTTTATTCATTTTGTCCAAATAGCTGCTCTGGAGGAGTTGCTTTCAACTAGCGAGCACATTGCAGAATGAAGTGGGACAGACAGACACAGGTCGAGACATTTTGTTCATTTCTACGTTAGGAATGTGGGATTTTGTGACTATTACTCTTCAATATCTACAAACCAAAGAAATGCTGGCCTCTGACTCCTTGGTTTGGTTTTTTCAATGTGGATGTTCCCTTGTTGTAGCAGCATTTGTTGAAATGACTGTCTTCACTATAAATAAAATGTGACACTACTGTGTTGCCTTTGCTTTTTTTGTCAAAGATTACTTGAGTATAACAATGGCATCTACACCTTGGTTTTGGGTTCCTTTCGCCTATTTTTGCCACTGCCTCACTGGCATGCTGACTGTAGATTTATGGTTTGAAGTCATGCAGTGTCAATCCTCCAATTTTTCTCCTTCAACATTTTGCTGGCTTTTATGGGGTCTTTTGCCTCTTGATGGACTCTTCAGAATTAATTTGTTGATATTAACAAAATAACTTGCCAGGGCATTGCCCTGAATGTATTGATTAAATAGGAGAGCTGATTATTTTTTCACACAGGTTCAGTTATCCTATCTAGAATTGGAGCGGTCTCTATTTGTTTCTTTCCAACAAAATTTTATGGCTTTCTTTTTGTAGCTATTGTATACATGGTGATTTCTAGTTCTTTATGTACCTTGGATTTATAGAAACAGTTCATTTTTATTAATATACAGCATACTAACAGAACGCTTTCTTTTCATATAATCAAGGTAAAATATAAACTATCATTATCCAGTGAATAAACTATCATTAAAAATAAACTATCATTATCCAGTCAAGGTTAAAAATAAACTATCATTTCCCAAGGTTAAAAATAGATATTATTCATCTCACTTGATTGAATCATTGTCTTTGGGTAGGACAATTATTCTTTCCCACTTATTCTTAAATTGCCTTATAATTTCAATGAAAATTTTTAGCTTCTATTTACTGATTTCAGTTGAGAAACTTTTCATGTGAAAATACTTCCCACATATTAATACAGTTTTTCAAGTCTTCTACTTAACCTATTTGCTTTAAAATGGAGTAAGATGCTTTGCAACTTGAGTGTGCTGTCCATGTTTGCAAGCGCAAGCAGGACTCCAATAAGAAAGGGATGTCCACGAACCCAGGTTCCACAGCAGCCATACATATACTCCATTTTCTTCTACTGAGCAACAGGAATGCCTTATAATTCAGATGGCAGGAGACAGGGAAGACCTCAGGCTAGCAATGCACTTGTCAAATGGGTACATTTCCAATCATCTTATTTTACTTGTTTGTTTTTAGCTAAACTCTTTATTTTGAGAGATGAGTAGCCAATTCAGGATGATAAAGTAACTTGACAGCCTGGGGACAGAGCCAGGACTAGAAGTTAGATCTTTTGAGTCTTTTTTTCCTAGTTTAATTTTTATTTTATTTTAAACAATAACAACAAAAGCGAGAACAAAAATTTAAGATTTCTTGACAGCAAGCAGCAATTTCAATCATATGTCCAATCTTCATAAATATATCTGTTAATCTGAGCAGCAGATTTGACAATAAAAACAGATAATACATCAATCATTGTTCATTAGCTATTCTTGCTTTGAAATTCTATTTTCTAAGAGTTCATCTTTCTAGAGTTATAAATGTGTTGGAAAGGCTTTTCAGCTTTTCTTTACTGGAATCCTTGGTCTCCAGTTAGAGAAAGATGCAGGGAGCAGAGCTCCTTAAACAGTACAGACTTGATCTGGAAAGAAAGAGAAATGTCCTTCCCTCACGATGAATGCCAGAATACAAAATTTCATGTTCAAGAAGGACAATTTTCAGTATACACAGCATTCTGGTAAATTGACAAAGAATATATTTATAACTCTGTATTCAGTAACTTATGGAAATAATATTTTTTGAGCTAAATATCACTATGAATTATATTTTCTTTTAACTAAGTTTCATGTTATATAAAACAGTGTGAAATATTTCTATTAACTATTATAGTATGTTTTTGTTTATTGAAGGATACATTAATAGAAATTAGGATATTACCCAGACCTTCTGATTTCAACTAGAACTGAAGAAAATCATTATAAATGGAATAAACAATTATTATTTTTTTTTTGTTTAAACAAATATCTTCTACATAAGCATGAGTTAGTTTAGTACAAAAATTCAATTTTGGTGCAATTAAGTCACCTTTGATGACTATATCCATTTGCATGTATGTGGAAAATAAGTTCACATTCAAGAATATATTCAAAGCAAACAAATATGAAATTTATTCAATAAGAAATAGCAAAATAATTCCAGTGAGTAGAAAATAAAGTAACTTCAATAATATATAATTTATCATGTACATATTCAAAGATCTCCACAATTTAAACAGAAAATTTATAGAACATCTTACTAAAGTACATCTTAGGAAAAAACTGGTATACTAACTAAAAAGAATGCTTATATACATCATGTTTGATCTGTGTGTAAAAAATGAAAGATATAGATGAAATTAAAGTTTCAAAAAATTTTGGAAGATATATTAGTACTTTAAACACCTGCCAAATAAGAAGAGCTTGACACATTTCTAATGCTGGAGGAAGTTTCTCAAAGTCAAATACCACAAAAATGTAAACAGTTGTCTCTGAACATTTATATCTTGTTTTAAATTAGCAGGAGACGGTCTTCCACAGAGTCCTCCTACTATCTGTATTTTTTCTTCCTTTATGAAGTCTAAACTTCAAGGCAGGGGGCCTGGCCGTAGCTCAGGCCTTTAAGTGGCTGCCTCCACAAAGCTGTCAGCCTCAGGTTGCTGGAGTTTGAATCTTACACCTCTCCAGCTGGCCAAAAGTGCCCTGAAGGCATTCGAGGAACAAGAAAAACAAAAACAAAAACAAAAACAAAACTTAAACTTCAAGGCAAGGATCACATATTTTAAAACCATTACACCTGAGTTGGGGTTCCTGACTGTCATGTTTTAGCCAGATGAAAGGAGGAATTCTCAATTCTCCTGTTCAGAACATAGCTGGCCTCTTTGGACATGAGCATTATCTTGTATGCCAGACAAGAGAAACATGACTTCTGAAATCAAAGCTAAGCTTAATGAAGAACTCTAAGAGATAAACAATACATGAGCTACCTTAATGAAGATGGCACTTGAAGCCTTTACACACGGCACAAGAAAACAATGAAGTGATTTATTTAAATTTGGTTTTTCTCCCTCTTTTCCTAGTCCTGAAAGGCTAGCAAGTAGTTACTTGTACACAGGTTGGGACACCTTTCTGCACACAATGGGTGCGTATACAGCACCGTATTTCAATGTAATATCAACAGAGCATAAACATTCAAGCAGTAGACACACTTCACATGAAAGTGGCTCTATTTGTTATGTGATCTGGACCAATAATAAGCACATATTAAATGCTAGTTTAGCAGTTACAGAGCTGTTATGAATCCATATAGCTAATTTTTATACTCATTATATGTATCCATAAGGAAAAAACAAGGGACAAAGACTTTTTCTTTAAAAACAAGTAGTAACTTCAAAATAACACATTAACCAGACATCAGCATTTGAAAGTAAGGTTCAGTAGGTCTGGCCTTTATACACATAAAACAGGTGTGTTTTCAGAAAATAAAATTAAATAACAATGCCAGTGTCACTATTATTTTTATATTGATGATTAATTACTAACATTACAACTCCCAGCAAGAAAGTGATGGACCCAATGGTGATGTAAGCAATCCCCAAAAAGGGATTTTTTCCTCCTATCCATGAAATGGTGCTCAAGACTATTCGTTTTCGTCCATCAAAAGAGTGTACAGGGTAATTGTATGTGATATTCAGACCGTATAGTCCAGCTGGTAACGTTGGCCATAAATCGTTTTTTTGTTCTATAAGGCGATATAACTTACGAAAAGTAGGCATTGCTGCCGTCCGCATCCAAACAATAAAATCCTCATTGATGAATCCATTATCATCGTCTTCGGAACCCAGCATATATACTGGTTTATGCCAGTTTGGAGGCTTTGCTGTGCCTTTAAATCGCTCTTCCAGGCTTCCTTCTCCAGGAGGATTTCTAAATCTCACATTTTTATCTGTCCACCAAGCAATACCTTTCTTTTTCAAGGGAATAGGTATAGGTATAGGGTCAGATTGATTGGCGATCTGAAACAACTCTAATGTATCGTTGAACATGCTGTTGGCAATAGCTCCACAAGGAGCAATTGGTTTGCCTTCATTTCTGTGATAGGGCTCACAATCTCTACTAGGATTATGCAAAGCCCTAATATTTCCACTTAGTTGACTATCATCCCGGGATTTCACATAATGGCGATGATTTTGATAGAAATTAGACAGTCCATAATACATGTACACATTGCCCTTGAATCCTTTTTCCAGAGTGAAGTTAATGGTACAAACGCAAGGTGTCTCAACCGGAGACAAACACTTATTGCAGGGGCTGGAAGGCTCCGTACCAGTGTAATCAATCTCAATTTCTTGGATGTTGTTGGAAGTGACTAAGATGCTGATGCCAATGAAGACAAAGATGAGGCCGATGAGGAAAAAGAAGGGCATCACGGTGCCCACAGTAAGGTTGGGCTGCCAGGCGGGCAGCCGTTGCTGTTTGAAGGCCGTGTTGTACGGCATGCACGTATTAGGGGCATCCCTGGGAGCACTTGGGGGTCTGCCATCCACTTCGGCTTTGACATTATAGTTCGTCGCCATTGAGACCCGGGGTACAGACCTGTGACGTGCAGGTGACCAACTGCAGACCCAGACAGGAAGTGCCGAGGGAGAAGGCACTTCCGCAAAGGACTGCCAAGGACCGGAAGTGGAAGTTGGCTGGAACTGCCTGGGGGAGAGCAAGAGGAGCCCAAGGAAGGAGAAGACTGAGGGTCCAGAGAGGAGTAAGGGGAGAAGGCTAAGAAGGCTGATGAGTGTGCGTTGTGATCACAAGTGAGGGGCTCACCCTCCAGGCTCTTTGCTAGATTTGGTTTGCCAGCATTTGAGAAGGATTCCCTCTGTGCACTGTATTTGCTCTGGGTTTTGATAGATGGGCGGTGTTGCACTGCTAGAATGAGTTAGTATGCTGTCTGAGTGTATCTTCTGGAAGAGACCGCAGAGAATTGGTATAATTCTTTTTTCAGATGTTAAAAGAATTCAACAATGAACCCATTTGGGCCTGGTATTTCATTTTATGTTTTAGAAAATTGTTCATTATTTTGATTCAGTTTCTTTTTTTTTTCTTCACTGTTTAAAATAACCTTTAATTCTCAAAAATCTTCCTTAATTACTCTATTGATTTCTTAGGGGTGTTTTAATCAATTACTACTCAGATAGACACTACTAGATAGCTTACAACAGCAATGGCAGCAGCAGCAGCAACAACAGCAACAACAATTTTTTTCTTTCACAGTTCACAGTTTGAAGTCAAGCTGTCAATAAGCTGGGAGTCTCCCAAGGACAGTGTTGTTCCAGGCCTCTCTTTTAATTTCTGGTGACAGCTAGCAGATGCGTTGCTCTTCTCTGCCTCTATCTTCACACAGCTCTCTCCTGCCTGTGTTTCTGTTCTCTCTTATAAGTAAGCTATATAGGTTTAAGTGTTCTTCCTATTTCAGTATGACCTCATTTCAGCTTCAGTACTCTGGGCATCACCCCTGGCTCAGGCCCATGACTCCAGGTCTTCCTGGGAACTCAGAAGTCAGTCCACAGGTGGAATGGGGACCTCTTTGACACAGTAAACTAGTTCTGTGCACCATGTTTAAGAACATTCCTGTCCTGGGGACACTAGGGAACATTAGCCTAGGCCTGTTTCCCTTAGATGAAATGATTATAGGTGTGACCATTCCTGCAGTGGAAGGGGACCAACTTGTTATTTCCATTTTCTGATCCTAAAATAATGACCTATCCTATTTCCCCAAAGAAAAACTTAAGCTTCTGATTATTAAAAATAATCAGAATACAAAATACAAAAAACAATCAAATACAAAATTGCATTTTGTAAAATGCAGCATATCACAGCACTGGGTCATAATGCAGCTGGGGGCTCTTATACTGCTGAAGATAATGTAGAAACAATGCTGATAGAATGTAAAAATCAAGGTGTTCCTTAGTTATCCTGGGAAATGTTTTAAATACAAGTAAATCTTAATTCTGATCATTCTTGTCTGATTGCAGGTACTATTGAGAGACTTTATCGCCTTTCTTTGGGAGAAAAATTTGCCTGACTTTTGAGGTCAGTTATGTGCTTCCCTCTGAGCCTTATTCTCTACACACAATCTTTTTTCCCCCCATAATTTTATTGATAAACAAATAGCAATGAGACAGTTTCAAATCAAATTGGTAGAACAGTTTCAATAATTAACACATTGCATACCTTCTTCCTACTGGTTAATTGCTGTACAAGATGCGGACATGGTATCCTGTTTACAAACACCATTAGAACAAATCCCTTGATTCATTAAGAGAATGTAACTATATATCTATCCTAACCACTTTGAATACACAGATACAAAATGGACATTCATCTGTATCCCCTTCCTTGGTTAAGTTCCATTATTTGAATATTATAGGTGTGTAAACTCAGCAAAATATTCTAAAAGAGTCCAGTAGTCCATAATGGTATTGGGTCTTCCGCTTGACTGGCAGTGTCAGAAATTGTTGACCTGAGTCAACAGCTCAACATAACAGCATGGCTTTACTTCCTATATTTCATTTTTATACTTTTCTGCTGTGCATTTAGACCAATTCAGATTGTCTTCATCTACTTTTGAGAATTTGGGCAGATTCTGGCCCTTAAGAATCGACGTCGTTTCTTCAAGTTATCGAATACGGGCATGCAGAGCTTTTCAGGCCATTTATACCTGTATTATTCTTTGAATATTCATGGAACCTTTAGTGATAGCTTTCATTTCATGCTTTAGTGTTTGTGTCTTGTTTCTTTTTATCTTAGACTGGCTGGAGGCTTATAGATTTCATTGATCTCTTCAAAGAACTAGCATTTAGTTTATTTTCTGTATTCATTTTTCATTTACGGTTTCAAATTTCATTGATTTCAAAATTTTTTTTCCTTTGATTTTAATTTTGGTTGTCCTTTTTCTAGATTCTAAGGTAGGAGCTTCAATGATTGCTTTAAAACCTTCTCTCCTTTTCTAACACAGGCATGCGCTGCCATATTTGTCCTGTCTTTGCACTGTTTCTGTACATCCCACAAATTTTGATGATATGTTTTCATTTTCATTTAGCTCAAATTAAGTTTAAACTTCCTGAGGTTTTGTCTTTGACCCATGTGGAGTGTTTTATTTAAAAGTGTTTAATCCCTACGTATTTAGGGATTTCACAGTTATCTGTTATTTATTTCTGCTTTAATTCTATTGTGGTCTAAGAGGAGAATAGAAATTGGATGAATAATGTGTTTTTTGCTTTGTTGGGTGAAGTAGTTTTATAGATGTTAATTATTTCCAGTTGATTGATGGTATTAGTGAATTGAATTTTGTCATTTCTATTTTATGCCTGCCAGATCTGTCATTTTGGATTGTGAGTAGTTGAAATCTTCGATTATAATAAGGCATTCATCTGTTCTTGTCAGTTTTTCCCTCATGTATTGTGATGGTCTGTTTTGAGGTATACACATGTTAAGGATTTGCTGTGTTTTCTTGGACAGCTGATCTTTTTATCATTATATAATAACACTTTATGATGACAGTCCTTGTCTTAGTGCAGTTACTTCTACGTATTTGTGATAATATGGTATGTGTGTATTCACCTGTTTACATTTAATGTGTATGTATCTGTATTTAAAGTGAATTTCTTATAAAAACATATAGTTGGGCCTTTAAATTCACCTGAATAATCTGTCTTTTAATTTGTGTGTTTAGAAGATTGATGTTCAATGTGATTCTAGTATAATTAGATTTTTACTGCATTAGCTACAGTTTTCTATTTGTTGCCCTTATTCTATACCTTTTTCTTCTACCATTTTCTGCCTTGTGGTTTGAGTTGAGCATTTATATGATTTCATGTTTCTTCCTTCTTAGCATAGCAGTTAATGTCAGTTATACTTACAAAAACCTTTTAACTTCCCTAGGATTGCAATGTACACTTACAACTAATCCAAGCCCATTTTAAAATAGCACTAGACTGTGGCCATGCCACCCTGAATACTCCCGATCTCATCAAGTACCACTGTACTGCTTCATGTGTAGTACAAAAACTGTACTAAGAGTAAAAATGGGGCCGGAGAGATAGTTCAGTGGAGTAAGTGCCTGCCTGGCAAGCTCAGGGCCCTGAGTTCAATCCCTGGTACTGCAAAAAATAAATAAATAAATAAAGAGTAAAAATGCTTCGTCATTGATTTCTTGTATCTAAGCATCCATAAGCACAGAGATCTATGACATAAGCTTACTTAATTTGGTACATTGTTGGTATTATCTTGGGTAAACTTGTCTGCTGGGTAATTTTCAGAATATGAGAAATAAAAGTTATTTCACCTTCAATTATTTTATCTTTACTATTCCTTTTATTATGTAGGTTTTAATTTCTGACATATTATTTTTCTATTCTTCAGTGAATTCTTATGGTATATTTTTACAAGGCAGTTATATCAACAATAATTTCCTTCAACATTTGTCTGAGGAAGTCTCTGTTTCTCCTTTACTTCTGAAGTATTATTTAACAGTGTGTAGGATTCCAGGTTGATGTTTTTATCAACATCTTAAATATTTCATTTCACATATTCTTGCTCGCATGATTTTGGAGATGTTAGACGTGATTGTTATCTTCATCTCCACCAGTAAGATGCCCGTTGCCCTGCCCTGTCTCAATATTTTATTTTATCTTGAATTTTCTGTAGTTTAAAAATGTGAATGGAGGTGACTGGCTTTTTATATATTTGCATTCATTTATCCTGTTTGGTATTCTCTCACCTCTCTGGATGTACAGTTTACTGTGTGACATTAAGTGTTGGGGAAATCCTCGGTTGTTACTGCTTCAAATATTTATTCTCATATATTTATTCTTTCTCTTTTCCTTGCTATCATAGTCCCATTATGTGTATATTACATATTTGGAAGTTATCTTGTAGTTCTTGGATGTTCTGTCTTTTTAAGTCTTTGTTCTCTCTGAGCTTTCAGGTTTTGAAGTTTCTGTTACTATGCCTAGGGCCTCAAGTGCAGAGATTCTTTCCTCAGATGTGCCAGTCCTACTAATGAAGCCTACCAAAGGCATCCTTCTTTATTGTTACAGTGCTTTTGATCTCTAGCACTTCTTTGTGGTTTTCTCTTAAGATTTCATACTTCTGCTTACATCTTGTGTTTGCATGTTGTCTATATGTTACAGTTCTTAGTATATTAATTATAGTTATTATGACCTCCTTGTAGTGTCTGATTCTGGTTTTTACTGTGTCTTTCTAAACTGATGTATCTATCTCTGGTTAGTTTTTGTGTGAAAAAGAACAAAAGAACTGTGGCCAGTTAGCCTTCAGTAATGTGTGTTAAGGTGTGAGGGCAGGGAAAGTGTCCTATAGTCCTACGATGAGGTCTAGTCTTTAGTAAAGTTCTGCCTTTGAGGACTTCACAAGCATTTCTCAGCCCTTCCTGCCACCTTATTAGGGGTAGGGTGGCTGCAGGAGGCTGGAGGTGGGTGTTTTCCTTCTATGTGAGTTAAAGTTGGGTAGGCTGGATGTGTTCTCTTCCCTTTCGCTATGTCGAGTGGGCTCTGCTAAAACCTAAAAGGTTAGCTTTGTTCAACTGGTTTCTCATGAGGGTT